ATCTTGAGAGCCGCTGCATCAAAGGTATGCTACTATATCAGCAGCTTTCAGGATGCGCACACACACACGCTTAGCACATATTCACTTAGATGATCCTCACTGTGGATCATATAATATTTTTTGATAAAACAGAAAAAAAATTCTGATATGTCTCCAGATTTATAACCTGTACTGTCTAGAAACTCACATTTACCCATTATGAACACCTTCAACCATTCAATGGATTTAGCTAGGCATCTCTAGGGCCAAGGGTTGACCAAATACTCTAAATGTACCTATTTTATCATGTTTATTCAGAACTGACCAGAGAAAATGAAAGAAAGGCTACAAAAAAGAAAAATTCAATCAAATAGTGCCACATCATTCCATGATGTAAAAACTATATAATCTGCAATAGAAATCCAGATTTTCATTATTACCCTTCTAGGTATGACAATTTCAAACAAGTAATGCATGTATTATTATATAACCTCAGCATCTCGTTTCTTCCTGAATTGATCATCAGCCTCCATCGCAAAAGCATCTCCAACACCATACAGTGGACGGCGCAATCGCATCATTCCCCAGTCAAACAATGTTTTGTCCGGATATGCACAGTTCATACGGAGCGAGTATTCTGAACTCACATCACAACGGACCTTCTTTTGCAATTCTGAGAGCTGCTAGAAAAGAAGTCCTTGGCAACAAGGACATATGCATGTCATCCATCGGTACACCAAAAATAAAGGATAACGCTCTCAATAACAATCACAATAATGACTCTTTTTGCTGTATATTTTAGGAAAACACTAAAAAGTGCACAAAATTTTTTGACTCATTACTTAAGGCACATCTTTCCATTCGTCAGATGAAAAATGGAAAAGTGTCTTTCTGAAACGAATCTCAGAAACAGAATGCAATTTATCTTGTTTCTAGAAAGAAGGAACAAATTATTCTGCTTCTCAAAATCAATCTTTCCGGTTCAGAAAACAAAGAAAAAGTCATTTTAAGATTGAGATTATCACTTTGGCACAGAATATCCAAAACAACTTCAGTACATCAAGTTTACCTTTAGCCCATAGAGTTCAAGCAAGCACTTTGTCTGCAGGTCCTCTCCTCTACTTGAAGGTAATTCTGATTCAAAATCATTAGTAAGTAATGGCTCACCCTTCTAGACCATAATATCAAATTTTACTGCATAAAAACACTTATGGGACTCTAAAAGAAGTTTAGATAACAAATCAAAGGTTGAAGTGATACTTTCTGGGTGGTCCTTAAATTAAGTACATCGCAGGTTAAGACATGACCCGAATGCAAAAATGATGTGGTCTTTGAATTAAATGCAATGCAGGTTAAGACATGATTACTCTTCATTCTTTTGCAAGAAAAAAATTCAGACATAAGACCGACCCCAACCTGGTCTCACCCCCCTTCACCACAGGAGTTGAGGCCTAGCCGATCTTTAACTTCCACATCTACTCTAAAACATGGGTTAGAGTACAAAGAGACATCCGACATCAATAAATAAAGAATTAGCTTTTTCTTCTCTTCTTTTTTCCTTCTTATGTTTTGAACATAGTAACAAACCCAACTGCATCCCACTGCCTACCGCCTGATTAGCTAATAGAATATTATTCCACAACAACAATTAGGAGCCTAATGATTAAATTATCTCGCTGCTTTACCAAAAATTCAAATGTCATCAGATGCTGAATAAAAATTATTCATAAGGTTTAACACGAATGGCATAATGAGCAAAAGAATGTGAAACACTCGGTGTATAGTTATCATAAAACCAGTCACCTTCAAGTTCGGTTAATCTATGCTGAATGTGGCTTTGATAACGTTTTTCTCTCGATTCTATTAATGCTGCACCTGACATGCAATTTTGACGTTGATTCAAAAGTGCATCTTCAAGGTCTGCTAACAAATCTTCTCCTGCGGAACTATCAGGATCATCCTGTAGCATCACATATATCAAGGTCAAACTTCTTGAAGCAATGAAGCAACACAATAAAGGACAATAAAACACCAGCTGCAACCCCATCCAGTGAATAAATTCAATTGGTTAACGCATAAAGGTAGAAACTTTTTCCTACAGAATTCCATATTTCAAGCTTCACTGAAATCCCAAAATAAAAAAGAGCCCAAACCACCAATTCCACACACAAAACCAAACAAAGAAGCTAAATTGACAAGAACCCAAGAACCAAAACCTCGAAAACACCCTGAAAACCCCAAAACCAAAACCCAAAACGCAGAGAAAAGAAAGGGAGTTAGAAGAAACCATACCAAACCCTTGTCATGTTCGAGATTGGCGTCTTGGGCGCTGTCATAGATGGACGAAACGACGTCGAAGAGGTCGGGAGGGAGAGGGAGATTGCGGGAGACGAGGTTGAGGGCACAGATCAGAGTCTTTGTCTTGTGGATGTGGTCGAGGCTCTCAAGCTGAGCCATGGACCTTGGCGGGAGTGAACAACCCAATGGATCTCTTTAAACGGTCTTTTTTTGAATTGAATTATTAGGAGAAATTTTAATCTGTGATGTGCTTTACAAATAACACACGCTCTCTCTCTCCTCTCTCTATCTCTCGCTCTGTTTATCGCTCTGTCTATAAATCCCTTTGCCAAAACAAAGAGGTTGGTTACTTGGGTTGTCTTCGGCGTTCGGGTTTTGTCGCTCTCTTTTTTCTCTCGGGTTTTTATATATAAATGAGAGAAAATTATAGGACCAAGTTACGGAAGGTCCTCTTTTAGATATTGTGGTGTTTCCAAACACGCCTCTATTTGCCTAGTGAATGACTGAATTACCCCTGGGAGGATGTCAAACAGAGACCGTCCATTTCTACACCGATTATGCCCCTTGCTTCAGAATTTCTTTTTTCTATTTTCCTTTAAAACGTTTGATTCATTCTCTTTCAATATCACTTTTATATATTTCACCCCAAAAAAATATCAATTTTAAATAATAAAAATTTTGTTTTCATCAAGGGTAAGTTTACATATTTATTTAAAAATAAGTAAGCTTCTTAGCATGTGCGGTAAAACGGAAAGTTAACATATTAATTTAACTAGCCCCTTCGCACATACTCACGCATGTGCCAAATGGTTTTCTTTTTTCTTTTTTATTTTATTTTTAGAATTAAGAAAAAATAATATGGGTAGTTATGTTCCATAAAAGTAGGACTTATTATCTGATTTTGTTTGTAATTTTAATTTTTTTAATATGAAAAAAATGTGAATTTATCATATTATCCTCATTTAATTAATAATTTTAATTCTTAACATTTGAATTAACCAATGGCATTTTCTGGTATTTTGACTGTTTCACCATTCTCTGCCTTTTGCTTTATATATATAGATAATAAACTAGTTTCTTAACATGTGCGTGGTAAAATGGAAAATTTACACAAAAACAAATAATTAACCCTTTTTTTTTAAGATAAACTTATCAAAAGTAAATATATGATAAACATCCAAGGGAAAATTACTGAACCATTTACAAGTATTTGAGGAGGAATGTCCTTTTTTGACTAATGTATCAACTATCATATTAGCTTCAAGAAACATATAATGAATGGTGACCTGAGTGAAATTTGGTAGAAAGTGCCAAATGTCTCGAATAATTGTTCGAACATTTAAGTTAATTGTGGTTACTATTTTAAACTTTGATTTTCTTTTTTATAAAAAGTCATTTTTGGTCCATGTAGTTTATCACTTTTATCATTAAGGTTCCTATAGTTGCAATTTGATCAATTTTGTCACTATAGTTTGAATTTCAAGCAATTCAAGGACAATCTCCAATTTATGTAAAATTACTCTAATATGGAAGGGTATTTTCAATCCAATCTTGCAGCTCCTCCCCAACCACTCCCACAGCCACCCCAGCAGGCCCCTACTATAGCTTTTCTTATGCTTTCAAGTCTCAAAGTCTCTTACCTCCAATCTTGAATAAACAATTGTGTGACGTTTTAGTCTTAATCTCTGGCTTTTGTTTTTGAAAATTTCATGCTTTTTGGCAATGCATGGAATTAGGCTTGAAGTTGATAATAGAGAGAGAGAGAGAGAGAGAGAGAGAGAGAGAGAGAGAGAGAGGGAGCATAATGTTGAGTTGATTTTTTTGGGGGGGAGGGGGAGGTGTGTGGTGGCGGCGGCGGCTATAAGGTGGGGAGTGGGTTGAGTTAGGAGGAGTTTGGGTTGGGAAGGGGAGGAAGGATGGTTGTCAAGTGGTTGGGAGGGCTTATGGGCACTTGTGGGTGGGGTTGTAAGATTGGACAGAAGTGCCCCTCCATATTAGAATAATTTGACAAAAATTGGGGGATTGTCCTTAAATTGCTTAGAATTCAAATTATAGGTACAAAATTTATCAAATTGGAACTAAAATGACCTTAGTGGTAAAAACGATAAACTATAGGTATCAAAATGACTTTTTTGTTTGAAATTCTAGATCCTCTCTTAATCAAGGCTTGTAAAAGCTAACTTGGCATGAATATAATGACATAGAAAAACCTAATAGTTGAGCATTTTCTTTTCATTTTATACACTCGTTATTGTAACCAACACCACTCAAAAATATACATAACCAAATTATTTTATGAGTAACGGACACGCGCACACTAGAACAGCATAATGGATAATTGATTTTATAACAAATGGTGTGCCCTCAACATTTTTCCAACAGACTTTTCTATAATTGCCCGAAAGTTCTATGTTCTTTTTCACACTAGGTTCATGAATGAAGTGTTGAACAAATTTTAAGACAATAATGCCATAATTTCAACTCTGAAAATAATTGTGTATTTTACACGTTTACAACAAGAAAACAATATCAGACCATGCTCAGAAGCTCACCATCTATGCTCTGCAATATTGACATGGATTACAACATCAATTTGAACATACTTTCCTTCCAAAAAGAAAGGGATTGTATAGTCATTCCCAACATTGCAGCTCAGACTAGACTATTGTACACTGAAACAAGCAGCTTAAAGTTGACCTTGCGAACTAGTTGGGAAAAAAAAATTAAATGCGAGAAAAAGAAGAGGATACTCTATCTGCCGCTAAGTAACTAATCCCATCTTTCAAAATGTTAGCAGCCAAATCAAGAATCAGATTCCCTATCTTGACCCCAATTGTGGAAATTCTCAATGTCCTGCAAATAGTAAGCTCTAATGCTAAACTCTCAGCAATGCTCTGTTGATTGGTTCTTGGAAATACTGAAGTGAAATGAAAATGGCTTCCTGTTCATGAAGATGCAAATTAAACCATAATAACACAAGTTTCAATACGAAATTCTCATCCATGAATAGAAAAGCAAAGAGATACTAAAAATACCTCTGTTCGAATTGTTCGACTCCCCTGATGTGGGCATGTGTTCAAATACAAATCAAATACCTCTCGCACATTTTTTGCCTTAAAAAAGATGCAATAAAAACAGTATTCAGTACCATTTCCTTTCTCTATCCATACTTTCAGTTAAACAAACTACTAGAAGTTGTGCCTCATCAAGCAAACGTGTTTCCAAGACCATAAAGATGTTCAGAAGTCCAATAAGGGGATGTTTTTTGGGTAAATAAGTTTAAACCCAACACATTTTTGAGTTATCCAGACATATGGAGCTGTTTGTTTTTACACCTTATAGCTACTTTAAGACATTTTATACTAAAAATTCAAATTAATAATGCAAATAAGCATGGCTTTTAAAAGCTTCTTCCACAATTGCCCTTTCGAATCTGAAGACTTTCCTATATTCCTCCTCACTCTCATCCTCTTCTCTCTTCCTATCATCACCATCATAAACCCCATCAAGAAATTAAAGTAAATCGACTCAAATTACATCCCAAGCAAAATCAAGAACTAATTGAATGTCAAGAAATGAAAAAGGAAAGTTGTAAGAATTTCAATGAAGTTTGTAATGAGGAAAATGAAAGGAAGAAGGGAAAAACTAAAGACAAAACAAAGGCTTGATGAAGGTTTTAGCTGGTAGCACCAGACTCCAACCCAGCCATTCACAATTCAAAGTTGAAAAAAATTTCCTGCAGAACTATAAGGGCTGTTATTATTTTCTAGCTACTTACACCAGGCTACACCACAGCCATTTGAAATTCAAAGTATCAAACCAAAGCCATAGGAACCTTACCTTTAAGTTATTATCTTCTTCAATGCTCTCTTCCAACCCAGCAAGTCCACCAAAAGCAATCAATAGATGCCTGCTAAATCATTCATTCAGTCAATTAAAAAATATCAGCGGCGTAATGAGTACAGCATTGCGATGTATATAGTTTCACATTTGCTTCATGCCCAACAAAAGCCCAAAAATTTCTTAATACAGTTGAAAGTAGTAATAGTAAAAAGATGTAAAATATCTAGAAACTTAAAAGAGGAAATCTGATATATTGCTACAAATTCACTGACAAAAAATTGAAAATATAGGTCCATAATCCTTTAAACACAACTGAATTCAATCAGCATACAAATCAAAACATTCAACGGGAAAAATACTTGACAGTAATTCTCTTATTTACCCTTTTCAGTTTCTGCTTAACACAACTTTTGACATAGAATATTGTATTAGAGATGAAATGGTTTCCTTCAGCCCAAATCTCTGAGAAGGACACCAGGACAACTACTTAACAAGAAAACTAAAGAAACCACAATTATTGAGGAACAATTCAAGTACCTGTAGAAAAGTAATGGAAGGGAGAAGGGGTGGGTGGGTTGGTATCGATGTTATGCTTAATGATATGTGCCTGCGTAGCACTCACCTACTATTCCTCATATAGCAAATAATTTAAAGGAGGCAGGGTACATAGTTCATAACTTCTCAAAATATAGATGGTTCAATTGGCCTGAGTCATTTTAAATGGATTTTGACTGTCAGATCTCACCAATTTTCTACATATTCCGCAAAAAGAATTTGTCACCACACAGAGGTTAACAGATTGAAGGAGGCTGAAATTCCATCCCAGGTACATCAAGAGCCTGACCAGTAACTAAGCCATCTAGTTGATGAATACGCAACACAGTAGGCATCTACCAATTACAAGATACAGAGCACAACAATTGCCTTAAGTGGTTAAGGACCAGCTACCCAAAGAAAGCAATACTCACAACATCTAGAAAAACAATCTTATATATGGTTAGCGCGTTTAGAGAAGAGTACCTGAAGGTAGGTATAGTGAGATCAGAGGAATTAATAATCTGACCATGCTCTGAGGTACCAATTGAGTGATCATAGCCACCCTGTGATTGAATAAAAGAAATTGATGAAGAAAGGCCCTATCTGAATGGTTAACCAAAAAACCATGAATTGGTAAGGGCAAGAGGGGCTCTGAGAGAGAAGGGGTCATAGAGTGAACGCATGAATACCTTGTATGGGCATTCATTCCTTACTGAAGTAATATTGGAAGCATAGCGCACTTTGTACCCCCAATACGTTCCTGCTTCTTCCCTAGGCTTGGAAGATGAGACAACTTGGCGTGATATATCTAGATGAATGCAATAGAAGAAAAAAAAAGCCTTTACCCATTTGGATTCATAGTATAAAAAATAAAATTATAAAATTTAATTATAAAAATAAAAAAAAATAAAAAAAAAGGAGAAATCTCCATTAATGATAAAGAAAGGAATCAGGAAAGGCCACAAATGAATTCAGGAAAAATCATTACCAGCATCCAAATTCCGGTTGGCTCCCATGGCCACAGTAACTCTCGTCCCAGGTTCAAGTACTTGATCAACGATGACATTCTGCATTTTTCATCACTAAATCAATTACTGGCTAAGGCGGGAGGAAAAGGCAAAGAAGAAACTATCAAACAATAACTCTTGTAACAGTAAACCTAGAATATGAGAGAGTACCTTACTCAAACCCACATCAACTAGTGTTCCCGCAGGGTTAGGAGATCTTTCTTTTAGTGTAACACCTATAAATTTACCGCAAGCTCTCACAAAATAAGGCCATAGGTCGAAACAGAAAACAAAGAAACTAAACTAAATGATGAAATTCATTTACAATGGGAAGTCTTAACTCAACCATCTCATTTCTCATTTTGGTTCTTGTTCAATGTCTTGAACATTGTCATCTTGACTTGAGTATAAGCAAGTATAGTCAGACAATTTATGTATTCCAGTAGGCACAGTATTTCCAATAGCAGAACAAGTCTTAAATTCCATCCATTACACTTTACCTTCCCGAAATGGACCCCATTCATGTTTGCGAAGATGGTGCGGAGCATCAAGTGGAGGCAACATACCCTGAAAAGAAATTTAAGCCAAGATGTAATAAACTTGATAATCAATTACCAATGTGCTTACTGCAGTGCATAGCATATATGAACAATTGGGGAACCTCACCACAAATCTTAAGCTGTTATGTTTTGGAAACAGAGCTTTTCTCAAATATTGAGGTGTCTCAAGGTACCTCAAGATTCGTACAAGAAAAGCAGCACCACTTTCATCCTCATCCGAATTAGCTTCTGGTTGTGAGCCAGACTCACTCTTGTTGTCAAATATCACCACCTGTTTACAGAATAATCAACTACATATCAATCAAATTTGCGTACTTTAAACATCAATTGATATAAAAAATCCACTAATGCTGAAGAAGAAAGAGTAAATCTAGAAACCTCGTCGATTCGGAAAATCGTCATGGCACGAGCAATCTGACCAGCCAACTGAGATTTTTTTTTAATAAACAAAAAATCATAATTAGAAAACTGAAGAGGAAGTGAAATGAGAAACATAAAGCAATTATCTGTTTGGATGGTGAGAAAACGGAGAGAGAAAATACTCTGGTGGCGAGTTCGAGGGTGAGCGTTGTGGATGATGGAGCCGGGGACGGCTACGCTCACGGTAGGTATCAGCGCGGCTTTGTCGACGTTGTGCTTCTTCTTCTTGTCTTTCTTATGAGAATCGCCATTAACAATGTCGACTTTGTTCTCTTGCTCTGCTTCGGCTTCTGATTCGGCTCTTTTCTTCTTCTTGCCCATTTCTGTTTCTAGTCGTTTGGTCCTTACCGCGCCTTAACCAGGGTTTTTACAAGGGTTTTTGAGAGTTTAGGGCTTTCGATCAGTTTAAAAGGAAAAAATAACAAAATAGCGAAGAAAAGAATTGAAAATGGCATAAAATTATTAAACGACGGAAATTAGATATTTATTGATTAAATTTTTTTTAATTAATAATTTTGGTGTTTGAATTTATGTATATCAAATTTTATAAATGACATAAATAATAGTGAGAACGAATTCATGCTTAATAAAAATTGCGAAATGACGACTCTTTTGGCGGCAATTAAACTTCTCAATTTCTATGATCTCCCCACGTATAATTTAATAAGTTTCATGTTTAAAATGCCTAACAATGAAAATATCAATTTCTCCTCTTCATAAGGAGGGTTTAGGGATTATAAATTTATAATTTTAATTGACTACAAAAATTATTCAATGAAATTAGATTACTTTTTTTGACAAATAGATTCTTAAAATGTAAAATCAAATTTCTTTAATAGTTTCTTCTTTACCCAAAATAAAAAAATAAAAACTCAAGAGGCTTATAGTTCAAGTGATTAAAAAAATTCACCAGTTTAGTGAGGTCCTATGTTTGATTTCCCCTTCCCTCAATATTGCTTGAAAAAAAAAGAACACTAAAACACTACAAATGAGCAAGGCCTTGTAAGAGCATTTACCCTATGCACTCGAAGTCTTAAGTTCGACTTCTCATTCTCTAAATATCACTTACATAAAAAATAATAATAAAACATTAAAAACAATTAAAGGTCCACACATAATCATTAGGTTTTATAAATAGTTTGGGGTTTATTCAATCTGTGACTTAATGGATTTTTTAAGTTCATAAAAATTTAGATGTATACAATCATGACTCTAAAGAACCTACAAACGTCTAGTTTTTTATATTTATTTATAAGGAAAAGTAAATATTACAACACAAACCCACACACAAGACCATATATTGCATATGATGTCAGTGTGGTTAGTCAGTTTATGCATTTACCCAGTATTTCTCATAGGAATGCAGTTGAACGAATCTTAAGGTACTTAAAGTCAGCCCCTAGAAAGGGATTAATGTTCTAAAAAAAATGAAGATCTTGAAGTTGTTGAAAATACAGACGTTGATTGGGCTGAGTCTATTACAGATAGACGCTCTACTTCTAGTTACTTTACATTCGTGGGAAGTAACCTAGTCACTTGGCGGAGTAAAAAACAAAATGTGGTTTCTCGATCTAGTGCAGAAGCAGAGTATAGAGGAATGACTCAAAGAGTTTGTGAATTATTATGGATCAAAAGACTCTTGACAGAATTGGGCTTCAAACTATAAAAGCGAATGAAGTTGCATTGTGACAACAAGTCAGCTATCGATATTGCTCATAATCTAGTTCAACATGATCGAACCAAACATGTTGAGGTGGATAGACATTTCATCAAAGAAAAAAGTGAGAATAAGATCATCCGTTTACCATTCATAAAATCAAAAGATCAACTGGCAGATGTCTTAACAAAAGCTGTTTGTGGAAGAGTATTTTATGACTTACTTACCAAGTTGGGCATTGGTGACGTATATGCACCAACTTGAGAAGGATGTTGACATGAGCCCCCTAATTATTTAAGGAGATTTATTTCCTTGATTAATTAAGGGATTTACTTTCTTATTTTATATAGTTGATAAATCATTGTATAATTATGAGATACTATCCTAATTGATTACTGTATCTATTTCCTTGTAAAGCACTCATGTAAGCTCTTATATATACCTAAAAGAATACAACTTAACCTAAAGTATTCAAACCATATTCATATTTTAGCATAAACCATTAGAAAAGTCATTGATTTGAAGGAAACAAAAAAGTTATGGATTTTGTTGAAATCTAAAGTAGATTTTAGGTCATGAAGAATCCATACTTTTGACGTACTTTTTAACTCTCACCGCAAAATGTGATCCAATTTAGCCATTATCAGCCCAAGTTTAAGTGCCACCACCACGCTTACCACTAGACATGGCCACCCAACCCTACCCTTTCTCGAACTTCCCTTTTTTTAAAATAATTTTCACCATATGTTAAAATGGTAATGACCATATATTGAGTATTGTAAGTGTTACAACTTTTTGCTTTTTAGAGAATGAAAATTTCATTCAAAACCAAATATCAATAAACATATGCATCTTAGTAAAATAGTATTATTAACATGATAGTCATGAATATAACGAGGTAATAGAAATCACTTTTCCAATTTGACTATTAGCATACAAAGATTTGTATTGGATAATGGATTTTAATGTGGAATAGTATTCTTGCTGTCCTAAAATGGACCAACAAGGAAGATGAGAGATGGATAAATGGGGATGGGATATAAGAAGAACAAATCACTCACACAGGATATATGTGGTTCATCCGAATGAGCTATACATATATAGGGTTAGAGAAAATTGTCATTATATTAATGTGGTGTTTACCCAATTTAAGAGGTTTTCTTAAGATCCTCTATTGAGGCCTAAAAAATCTGAGGCTGGGCCCAAATATATTTATAACCTAGTATGACATCTAACTTGGGAAGAAACTCAACTTGGGTACGTAAGAGCTCGTCATATGTGCTTGCACACATGCCACGCCAAGCAAATAAGCAACACGCCATGCTACAAGCTTAAGTGGGCCTAAGCCACGTAAATGTCTGTGGCTTGCTAAGTGGGTTGTGGTATAGATGGTTATGAGTATTCAGGAGGCCCATTGATGGTCCAAGGAGTGGAAGTTTTGGGTTATTTGGGAGCACCAAAACTCAAGCACATTCCTCGAGCCCAAACATATGGGTAAGCATGAGAGAAAACCCAATAGTCCATCACTTTAAGAAGCTGGCCCATTCCTTTTGTAGACTAACTTATCACCCTAGGAAGGCCCAAATGACCAAGAAAATATATGAAAGTCTCCATCACATGGCTGGAGACAAAACAATGACAAAATCCAAAAGCTACTCACGTTTACAGGCTACTGGGAATCTCCAGCACATGGCCAAAGACAAATCCCAACACAAGCCATCAAAAAACCAAAGGATACTTGAGCAAAACACCCTTCAAACTAGTGCATTTACCCATTTCTTTCCCCCCCCCCCCCCCCAGCTTTTGCCATGGAAGAGGGAAGGAAAGAAGGTGAGGAGGTAGCCAAAAATGGGAGTTCATTACTGAAACAGCTGCGGGAAAGCCTTAGAGCTCCCAAAAATCTTGTTTTTAAGTGTTTGGATAGAGGAAGATTTCACAAAATGGGATGAGTCAAAGGGAGAGAAGAGAAATGAAAGGGGAGATTAGGCAAAATTGGAGAAAACCAGCTAGGGTTTTCTTGGGAAGAAGGAGCTTCCAACGCCTATAAAAGGGAGACACCTTCTACCCACCAAAACAACTGAAAAAAGGGCAAGTAACCCATATCCAGATAGCAAGCTTCATTTCTCATCCCTTAAACCTCTGCAATTTCGAGCCTCATTCCTCTGTCTTCTCCCATTTTCTCCTCTAACAAGTCATTCTAGAGTCTGACCGAGCTTTTGTCAGGATGCCGGAAAATTTCTCAAACCACCCCCTTCTCGTCTCTCTCTCTCTCTCTCTCTCTCTCTCTCTCTCTCTCCTCTCCTCTCAACGAATCCCGTTAAAATCCCTTCCCCCTTACTTAAACCTATGTTTCTCATAGGAAATCACAACTCTTTCTCTCTCTTATGCTAAACTCATGAATGCTCAGCTCTCATGCCAAGCCAAGAATTTATCTGTAAGCAACTGTTGGTTTCATTAGTGAAGAAGACCAAGGTGTTTCTTAAGGCTCAGCTATCCTTTCGAAACACTCTTGGGGTCTGATCCTGGAACTCAGACTCAAGAAGCAATTTCATACATTTGGCTCTTTACAGCAGCCCAGGCAGAACGAAAAAGTCCCTACATGCTCTTCCAAGGGTGATCTTCTTTTATAGGTGAGATATATCCTTCTCTTATGCTATATTTCTATATGAGACTTTCGACACGAGCTTCTCGTTGGTAAAACGATGAGGGACTATCAATGTATGATATGCATCCATATCATGTTGATGTCGGCTAATCATGTTGAGTTGGTTGCTTGATCAATCAATGTACAAACATATTCAAAATTTCTTTCCTGAACTGAAGGGAGAAATTTAATACATAAAAGTACTTTGTCTCTAAGAATAAATGAGAGAGATTCCAATAATTGTAATGATTGTATTTGTATGCACTTATTTATTGTTATTAACTATTATAACTAGTATTCGTCATTAAATTACCACTACAAATTTGTCTAGTAAAATGTATTTGTTGGTACAACTACAACTCGTATTTGGTCAATGCATACAAAACACTTATGCTTTTGGCACCCAGTGTGACAAAAAAAAATTTACTTGTAATTGGAATAACATTGTTTTGCTATCCCCAACCAATAACACAATGACACATAAAAAAAAGTTATATATGTCATTGTGTTGTTACCAGGGATCTATCCCTGTTACATGAAAGTTTCTCTCCAGTGTGACGGTCTTGCTGCAAAAACAAGTACCAAGTTTGACTTGACGGGTGGTGATTTAGTGGGTTTGGGCAGCTAAACTTGCATTCACAAGTTTTTTTTTCTTCTTCATATTAACATGCGTATCGGTGAGAATATAGAAATAGAATCCCACATCGGAAACTCTAAACCTTGCATAACACTTTATAATATTTTGTGCCCGTGCACTCATTGTGAGTTAGTTTAGAGTTGGTTACTCTAATTATATTGGACATTTGTCTAAAGAGAATGAACCATGTTGTAATTTTTTATACAATTAATATGCTTACCAAATATTAATGGATGCAAAACATCCAAATTAATTTAGAAGCATATCTAATAACTTTCCATGCAAATTATTGCTCGCGATACTCTTCCATATAAAGGAGACGCCCATTTTCCATATGTATGGTATTTCCTCCTTATAAATTAAAAGCCAGCTCTATCATTTCTGTCACATCCAAAATTCAACATATATCATAATAATCTATACTGGCTCTTAGCTATCAAAGCTCGAAGGAAGAAGCTCTGTGTTTTCTATATACATATCCCAGCCAAAGAATGAGTAAAGATGCAAGTTCCCACTCATCTCCACTTGATTCGGTAATAACAAATTACATACATTCGTCAACTATATATATATAATGCTGTTTTAGTTTATACATATACATTATTTTCTTTTAATTTGTTATATTGAAAGCTATGACTGGATGGCTAGCTAGTTTTAGTTTATAGTGGCCATGGGGCAAACCATTCATGAGAAAGAATATGCCGTTGCATTTGAAAAAACTTATTGTATGTGACGCGTGCATAACACGCGTCTCATAATTTATATAGATTACTTTGGTGCATGATGAGTTGTACGTGAATGTTGTAAAATAAAATGTATAAATAATTAATTATGTCATGACATTCTCTATTTTGAATCGGGTTGTAAAATTGATGAAAAATGAGATGTTTTTTGTTGGGATACATGGAACAAAATTAAAAGATTACATTGGTTTATATAACTAACAAACTTTGGTTGCTGACTAGATGATGAGACGACAGGAGTGGTGGTAGATGTAGTATCTTTTTCCAAAAATTATTGTTATAATTTGTTATTTAATTACCGTAATGTTTTTTTCTTTTTTTCTTTTTTTTTCTTCCATGCACTGCTAAACTCATCAACCGTGTGTTCTTCTTTTGTATTAAAAAAAAAAAAAAAAAAAAAAAATAAATAATATTTTTTTGTGTGTTGTTTTTTTATCTTGATGAACCCGATTCACTGGCCCAAAGAAACCCAGTGAAATCAACCCGGAAAATCGATGTGCCCAACCAAACAGTTTTTATGTTTTTCAATGTTCTAACGCAACCTCTCCCACTTCCGCCCAAAGTGATGATGTGGAGCTTTACGCCAAGTCAAGAATATCCCACCGGTCCATCACATGCCACCCAAATTCCCTTCCGCGTGAGAATTAAATAGACCGCACAGGCATCCTATATATTTTAAGTTTTTAACATTTCTTTGCTTTTCGTTTGGATCGGTTTTTTTATTTTTGTTTACATATTTGCTTGATTTGTTTTTGGTTATTTGAGCTTTTATTTTCTAGCATTCATATATTTTAAAAGTTATAACAATTTATAAATTGAACATCATTCAAGCTAGCTACTTCTTCTACAAAACTTACTACACATATGGCATGTGATTTTCCAAAAACAAAATATATATGACATATGACTGTTTTAATATTTTTGATACAAGCGATATTAAGAGAGGGGAAAATCAAATCTAGAACTTCTCGTATCTTTCAGTTATAGAAAAACAACCAACTATCTTCAAGATTAGGGTAAATTGTGTATATTCATCTTGCTTCATTTATTATTTTTTTGTATTTGCACGATGGATTGTAGTGCTAAACAAGACAATTAGTTTAGTGAAATTTAGTCTTCATTAATTGAAATAGGTTCTGAGTTCAAATAAACTAAATGTTTGGATATAAAAATTAGTATAGAAGGTGAGAAATAATGAATAATTTTTTTCTTAGTATAAGTGATTTGGGAGGGGAGTTTACACAAATATTCATTGAGTGTTTGGGGGTTTTGAACCTCTGCCAACATGGGTGGAGAAGGAAGACAACCAAGCTATATCCCATTGGCAGAAATAATTAATAGTTAATAAAATAATAATGAATTTAATAATAAAGAAAGAAATTTATAAACAAAAAGAAAGAAATAATTATAATGAAGAAGTAAATAATGAAAAAAAAAGAAAAAAAAAAAAAGTAAAAAATTGTGCGACCATTTCAAAGCGACCTTCTCGCAAACTCAAAGCCAATCTCTATCTCCTGGAGGGGAGAGAGAGCGATGACGATGACGATGCTAGAGGGCATTGTCGGTGTTCTTCTCCTTATGCTTCTTCTGATCCTCATCCTCATCTTCGTCGCCTGTAAACCATGGCGTTTCTTCTTCTCTTCTCGTTCTCGCACTATCAAGGTACCTTCCTCTTTTTATTTTTATTTTTTATTACTGTTTCCCAATCCCTCTCCTTTTATTTTTTTAATTGCAAAATTCTCAGAGGTTCCGTTTCGATCTTCCTCTTCGTCTATATATGTAACGCTAGTGCAATGTTCTGTTTGGATGCCGAGAAATCGTAGAGAAACGGAAGGAAAATTTGAATTCCTTGGCACATCGGGGTTGACCTTGTTTGATCACTGGATTTCAGTTTTGTTCTTTTTAATGCTAATTTTTCGTTTGTTTCGGATTGGTATTTAGCTAAGAGCCTAAGCAGTGTCAGAGTTATAACTTTGTATCACTTTGCTCAGTGTAGCTCGGAATGTATGACTAGCATTTGTGGTGATGTGAGTGTGATCAAGGATTTGATGCGTAAAATTGATTTTGATTTGTGCTTCCATGTGTGCCTTCGACTATTTTAGTGTTTGATATTACGTATCTGGGTAAAGTTGAACCCAAGAATTCGAACTTTTGTTGGTTTCTGTTAGAACTTAATTGTTTTGTGTATTTTCTGATGTTATTTGTCTGACTTATTGAATATTTTATGTTAAGCAACTCTATCGAACTATTTCATTCGTTAGTTCACATGAGAGCAGGGGGCTCGTGTTATTGTTCAAACTTCTAGCATTATATGCTTCTTGTTTTGTTTTCTGCATTTGGTTTGATACCTTCGAGCAAGTAACTACATTTCTGAAAGAGTAATTGAAAGAGTGCCAAGAAAAACTTTATCCAAGGATTGCCTCCGTCTTTATTTTACATAGTTTATCTTTGTTGTAGTGGAATTTTACAAAAAAAGCCCCATTACCAAAGACAAAAGACTTGGTCTCTTCATGGCTCAGATAGTGGTTGATGATTGATCTGTAGTGCAATACACTGCATAAAGTGAGATTGGGCAATTTGGCTTTTACATTTCAGATACAATAAGTACCTGAATACCAAGTGCTTCCCTTTAGGCATATGATTTATCATTTCATTTACCTTATAACTATTAAGCTGGTTCGCACCTTGTGATTCCTCTTTTAGGTTGGTGAGCTTGAGAGACCCCTTGTTTCGGATGATGCGGATCTGGTCCGGAACCAGGGTAATGAATTTCCAAGAGGTTATGATCTAGAGGGAGCATGTTTCCAAAATGAAGGGAATTTTCGCTCGCCCCGAACACAAGGACTTATTTATAAACCGAGGCTTCCCACCACAGCTCCCAATTCGACTCAAGGTAATTAAGTATATCCTGTTATTTCACCTTTAAATAATTCTCGTCGCAGTTGTATTTTAGTGCTCATTTACTCCTTAGCATAACCAAACATTTATGCTTCACTCGTCCCAGGTGACTTGATCCTAGATGTGATTTCTGATGCTCCGGAAGATATTTTAGTTGGTCAGACACTCAAGCGTCCATTGGTGACACAACAGTTACTAGAAGATCAGAAGTTTGGTAGACAGAGTTTAGAACATGATAGACTTCAAGAGTTTGTGCCCAGTGATATTCTATATCAAAGTAATTTCTTATCTCTTTCACATGTTTTAAGTGTTTAATCTTTTAGTGGTTTTACATGGCTGAGTGTGTAAAACATGTGATCATAGTCTTCTTTTAGAAGTGCAGGAACCTGCCTCAACCTGGAGGTCATTTCTGGTCCTTCCCAGGGACTTCGTTGCTCTGTACAGTCAACAAATTCTGCTAGGCTTCCTCTGACCCTTGGAAGGGTTCCTCCAAGTGATTTACTATTGAAGGATTCGGAGGTGTCAGGAAAGCATGCATTGATAAACTGGAATTCGAATGTAAGCATATTAATGACTACTTCTTTGACTTTATTGGGGTTGCATCTGTGTGTTTTTGGTATAAAATTATGCTTTACTTGTTCACCGGCTGTAGAAAATGAAGTGGGAGCTGGTAGACATGGGCAGCCTTAATGGAACACTTCTAAACTCTCAGCCAATCAGTAATCCTGATTCTGGAAGTAGACATTGGGGCAAGCCAATGGAGCTAGCAAGTGGAGACGTAATAACTCTTGGAACGACCTCAAAAGTATTTGTAAGTCAATATGCCTTTATATCTGAGTGAAGAACAAAAAGTACCTCTGTACTTAGTTTGCATGCTAATTAAATTTTGTAGAACATACATAAAATTGATAAAAACTGACTTGACTGGGCTATATGGATACTTCTTGAGGACCGTGAGTTTTCACATTAATATACTTTTACTTGGGCTTTCTGCTGTCTCTGTAATTGAGAAGAATTTTTTCTCAGACAATTTAAGTTTTAATTAATATACATGGATTCATACAGAAAAGGTGCAAGACTGCCTGTTCATAACCTACATGTGCAAATTACAATAAGACAAGCCTACCAGTGTTTGATAACTTTTTATGATAGAGAGAATGGGTGTAGAATGTTTATAGCCTTGCTCTCTTATATTCTGTGCTGCTTAGATGCCCCCTTTGATAATTTTTATTCATATAGTACCCTGTTTCATGGTCAATGAAGCATAGAGAAAAGATGAAAATTAAACACATATTTCAGTTCAAAAATAATTTGGGTAATCATATTAGTATTTATGACTAAGTACCTTTAGTTTTGCGAGCTGGTGGCTCACTTTGTCTCTATAAGCACCTTTGTATTGGATATAGCATTATCAGGGTCCTATTGAAAAGCATCATAATAATGTCTTGATATGATATTTTCTAGGCTGTAGATCAAAATAATTGCTTACTCTTGTAGTTATCCTGATTTGCTTAGATGTTGACTTTATAATGTGGATATCTGGCTTTTATAGATGGTAATGTAGAGGTGACATGGCATTTGAAAGTTTCCTATCCTTTTTGGCAGGTTCATATTTCATCTGAAACTGAGAGTCAGATCCCCTTTGGGCTTGGTGTGGCTTCAGATCCCATGGCTCTGCGTCGCGGAGGGAAGAAGCTTCCGATGGAAGATGTGTGCTACTATCAATGGCCTCTTCCTGGGATTGATCAGGTTTCACAGCTATTTTTTCTTCCATTGAAGTAATTTTGCAAGTTTCAGAAAGAGCTAATATCACCTAAGTTCCTCCCTTTCAGTTTGGACTGTTTGGTATCTGTGATGGACATGGTGGAGCAGAGGCTGCCAGATCTGCTAGCAAGTTAGTATTTCTTTCTTTTATAATGTGCTTTGTTGCTACCAGGTACTTTAGTAGTTACTGTATAATTGTTTTATTTTACAGGCTTCTTCCTGAGATGGTTGCTAACATTTTATCGGATTCACCAAAAAGGGAGAGGGTTTTATCACTATGTGATGCTTCAGATGTTCTTAAGGATGCTTTTTTTCAGACCGAAGCAGGCATGAATCACCACTACGAGGTTTTTCCTTCCACTCTATTTATCTTGTTCCATTAGTTTTGATTTTTTTGTGAACTTGTAAATGTAGCAGTTGATTCGCACACGCATCTAAAATTGATTCCTCTCTCATGGTCCCCTCTAGCTCTAGTAACATTTAGTAATATTGATTTTTAATGTGTTACCTTGTTTATTGGAATCTTAGTTTCCAGGGTCTTTCTTCAATACCTAATGTACTGGTACTACCTTTTCTTCTTCTTCTTCTTCTTTTTAATTTTATTTTATAATTTTTAAAATTTTAAATTTATATAAAAATAATATCATAAGAGTATGGAGTTCTTTTAACAAATTGTAAGTGACCCCACCAGTTTGAAGTGCAATTTTAGAACTAAATAACCTACACCGCTGTCGGGACTTGGCAGAATTATTTCTAATGAATGGGACTATATAGGAAAATAAGAATTTAAGGATACATGGTGGCATCACGGTCACTAGATGTTTTACATTTTTTTATGTACAGATAAGAAGATGTTTTGGTTGTCAACTGGAAAATATAGGGTGCTCATTTTATGTGGATGCAAATATTTGGATGATTAGTGGCAAAACTTCCTTTGATCGTTAAGAAAATAGATAAAGAATCTGTTATTACGGTAGGATTACAATGTGTGTGCTCCTCTCCTCATCGGATAGAGAATTTAAGCATACTGTTTTACAGCAGGCCACTTGATCCTTATATACATATTACATACATAAATATATTAGAAAGATGTAGCACATGATGCGGTTTAGGATGATGTTTCTGTTAATAGTAATTAAAGTCTGGTTTGCATATTATAACGGATCATCCTTTGCAGGGTTGTACTGCTACTCTGCTTCTGGTTTGGACTGATGGTGAAGACAATTTCTTTGCACAATGTGCAAACCTTGGGGATTCTGCGTGTGTTATGAAGTATGTGTTCATGTTTTCTTTTTTCCTCTGGGTTAAAAGCATCATTTTATTATTTTCTAGAATTTCAGATGGGATCCCTGGTGGGCAAGCTGGTAGCTCGGGATTAGGGGTTCATTTCTGTGAAGATTGGTCATTATCTTGCACAGTTTTTCATCTAAGTTTTCTGTCTTGAACAATGATATTCCATTTAACATTCTTCTAATGTGATTAGATTATAAGTTTTATTTGGTGAGGATTTGCTAATTAGTCACAGCATGTTTTAAACTGTGTATGATTTAATTGTGGCAGCGTTGATGGGAAACTGATTAAGATGACGGAGGACCATAGAATTTCTAGTTATGGTGAAAGACTCCGAATCCAGGAAACAGGACAGCCATTGAAAGAGGGGGAAACACGTCTATGTGGTAATGGCCAGGTTAATTGCTGCCGTTTGTGAATTACGCGATTAGATCTTGGTAATTGCTTAGGCTTTTCTCCACTTGTTCAGGTTTGAACCTTGCTCGGATGCTTGGAGACAAATTTCTTAAACAGCAGGATTCGCGCTTCAGTTCAGAACCATATATTAGCCAAGTGGTACAAATTGATCAAGCGAGCAGGGCCTTTGCGCTAATGGCCAGGTATTGTGCCTTTGCTTTGACTTTGTTAAAAGTTTTATATTCTGAACTATATGGCTCTGTTTTCAGCAGTATTTGTCTTCGTAGTTTTCCGTTTTCGCCCAGTTTTTAGGGATCTCAGTTGCCTGTACCAATTAATTGGTCTAACTTCAGATATACAAGTCTAATTTATCTTACTAAAGTAGCAGGGGCAATCGCGTTAGAATTGCAGAGTCTAGCGATATGATATGTTACTGTCTGGAAATATAACAATACTTGAATGTCTAGCAAGAGAGTATCAATCTATCAATGGTCTCTTGCATGAGAATAATACAATGCTTATTATGGACAGTTTAAATTAACCCTGGATTTTGTGATTGTAGCGACGGCTTATGGGACGTAATTAGCGTGAAGAAGGCCATTCAGCTAGTTCTTCAGGTATTATATTTTTTTTTCTTCTGACTTAACTTTCTGTGAAGAGAAAAAATATCTTCTATTTTATTCATCTAACTTTTCCCTCTTTTTAAATTTGGACATGTACAGACGAGAGAGAGATACTCGATGGATGGGGAGAATTTGGCGGAGAAGACTGCTAATGTTTTGTTGAGTGAGGCTAGAACAGTGCGAACAAAGGATAATACCTCTATAATTTTCTTAGATTTTGATACTTCTAGAATCTCATGTAAAGCTGAATCTTGATATGAGTTAAAAAAGTTATAGTTTCACAGCAATAATTTTCTCTTCTTTTTCGCTCGACTGTTGTCCATCTTTTTCATTTTCCCCCCTACAAGTTATATACAAAGTAAGTAGTTGATTCCAATAAATATTTAGTTTACTAGTCTCTTACAAGTTGTACATCTCTCTCATTACATGGCTAGTCATGTAATGCCTCTATTGAATGAGGCAAGAGGCTTGATATCTAGGGCATGTTTGGAAGTGATTTTGGGAGGGTCAGAATCACTTATAAGGAGAAATACCTTCCACATGCATTCTCCATATAATCATTTAAGTGATTTTAAGCGATTCATGGGATAAACACTTCCATATGCTTTTTCATAAAATCACTCAAATTCAAGTGGTTATATGGAAAATTGATTGCATATCCAAAATCACTTCCAAATGAACTCCTAATCAATGTGACAATGAATGAAACGAGCCATTTTAGTTTCTGTTTCCATGAGTTGATGCAAGTTCTCAATGTTAGTTTTGGTTTTCTGAGTTTTAAAAACTACAATTCTGGATAGGCTTTTATGATTTCCTTGATAGATCAGATGTTCTCAACCGTATGATTTCAATTTGAGGAGAAATATGTCATTGCTCTGTGAACTTGAAAATTTTATGGATACAATTTTCTAAAAAGTAATGTCCACATATTTCCTTGTCCGTTGCATTGTTGTCCTACTGTAAAGCTAATCTGCACTGAAAGAATGCTCATCTAGTATTATGCATCGTCCGAATTTGGTTCCGGGGATCGACAATTTGTTTGGAAAAATCTAAAGCAATTGGACGAGGCGCGCCGCCCTCAACTTTCCAAGAAATTTGGGGTACCTGGGAGTGCGGATCTTCGTACTTGGGTTCACCAACTTCCTTCATAAATGGGTCGGTGGTTTTCTTCTACATCACGGGAATGAGGAAATGGATACTTTATCTTAACCAGTTCTCTGAGAACAGATGCATGATAAATTATGCCACTGTTCAACATTGCAAATTATACATGGCAATTATGGGAGGAAAGATGAATTTTCCTAACTCAACATACCCTTGACGAATACACACGTCCTTACAAACATTACAGGCCATGTGAAACACGTAGTTTTGGACGTCTTCGAGTATACATCTGTCGCGCGTGTAGTGGCGTGACCAAGCTACTTTCAACAGCCTTCTCCGTAGAATCGAGTATCTGCACACAAGCCGTAACCAAGTTATGAGATCCACAGATATGTCATTCCATTCCATCAGCGATGAATTTACATCTAAGACTCACCAGAGAGTACGCATTTATCACAATGATCAGTTTTTGAAGTAACACAAGATGTTGCTTTTCTTTTTGGAACATTTTTCCTTAATTGTCACCCGTCTGATGATAAAGTTTCTAGGTTGATTTGAGCCCTGGTGTGTGTTTCATGTAGCTTCAATCTTTGCTGCTGCAGTTTCATGTAAAACATCTTCTGTTTGATTACCATCATGAATAGCACTGGTCAACAACTTATATAAGAACATGTAATGTGTTCTAACTTTTTCAGAGATGTAATGAAAGATACTCAGCAGCATATCCTTCTTTTCCTAGGTGTGTGTGACTGCTAAGCTCATCATCTTACTTCTTTTGATTTTCATTTCCATTTGTACAAGAATCACGTTATTTTTTTGGTTTATAAGGAAAAAGCTACTTCATATGGAAAGCATGTGCATATAATTGTACATCAATTTGTTAGATTATGACCAACATCCTAGCACTCCCGTTTTCAATTTCATCCAGTCTAGATCTAGTTACTCCAGTGGAATAGGAGAAATCGAGGAAGTACGAAAAAAAAAATGTACCTATGCTTTTCAGTGTGTGCTTGGGCTGCAGCATCCAGTTTGACAGGCGCTGAAGAATCAAACAAAACCAGTTATAATAAAACATGCCATACAATACAATACGAAAGATCGCTAATAAGGAGCTAAACGAAACCATAATGATCCTAACCATTGTTCACTTACACAAATCTCCACAAAATTATTTAAAATAATTAACTATAATTAATTACTATTATTAAGTAATTTATGAAATTAATGAAAGTATTTAAATACTAATTCTTCACTAAATAAATAATAATTTAATCACAATATATTTAAAGCGTATGGCCGAGCGGCTATACTTTTTTAATGCGAAAGAGTATAGCCATGCGGCTTACGTATAGCCGCACGGCTATAGCTCTTAGATTCAAATTTATTTATAGAGTATAGCCGAGTATCGCCGCTCGGCTATACTGTTTAATATTTTAATATATTTAAAGATTATGCTATAATTTTAAATCTGAATATATTTAAATTAGTATTGCCGCACGGCTATACGTTTTAATATTTTAATATACTTAAAAACGCGGCTATACTGCCTAGACTCTTTAAATACTTATTTAATCAAACGCCAGTAATTAATATAGAGAATGAAGGGATTGTAAGCATTTATCAAGAACTGAACTTCCCTGAAAAGCAAGAATAAGAATGATAAATCATCATTCACCCAGTCAGCTTTATAATACAGGCTGGGAGTTTGCCAAAGAAAACACAGTTAGGAGCAATGAACTTCATATCTGAACCGAGTAGCTCGCATCGACACTCTAAGCCGTGAGAGTCTCGACGGGGAGTACGAGGGGGATAGCCCTTTTCATTTTTGTGCTCTGCTGTGTGAGTCAAGTGAAGAGGGGCACGGTTATTCTCATTGTGTCTATGAAGGTATAAATAGATTTGGTAATTTTGGTGCATCTTGTTATTCATCAAAGTTATTAAATTTGGATTTGCCTCCAATATTTGATCCTTGCAACTGTGAAAATTGCAATGAAAATTGTTTAGGTGTTCAAAGCAATTTTGATAAGCAATTTATTGATCAGAACAGTGAAGAGATGAGAATTGAGAAAACTTTCGAAGATATTATTGATTTTATGGGCATTAATGTTTTCACTTGAAAGGTTGCCAAAACTTTGGTTGATTTTGTCAATCGGTTGAAGATTCTAGGGAGAAACATTTGCATTGTTAGAGGGAGTAAGAAGAAACCAAGAATAACGAAATATTCCAAATATCTTTTTATTTGGAAAGGAAGGTTTCAATTGGATGCTAAAAGATCCAGAATTAATATGAAGCAATTGAAGATTCTACTCGGATTTTCCTCAATCAAAGGCTTGAATTCGAGGACGAATTCTTTCCAACCAGGGGAGTCTGATGCAGGAGCATAGGGGTGGATCAAGATAGATATTTACCATTTAATTAGCTATTTCTTGATATATTGTTATTTTCTTATTTAGGTAGTTTTAGGATATATTTTATTATTTATGTGTGATTTTATAATTAATTGGTTTGCTTTTGGACCAAGCAGTCTTGGTGTCCAAGTCTTGTAAAGCCTATAAATAAGGCTATTGTAATAGTTGTAGGGAATTGAATATTGATGATTAATGAAATAGTTTATTTGTGGCATGGATTTGCTACGATATATGTGAGTTTGCACTAGCCCTAGATTTCGGTGCTCGTGTATGTGGTTGGTGACCTGTGTCCTGATCCCGATCCCCATCACATATACATATATCATATGGAAATATTCTACTGCCAGACTGTTAATCTGAACTGAGATAATAGGTGATTCATCTAGCAAGAGAACATTATCCATGTATTAAAGATTTTTTCCCCAGATGATGACATAAACTGACACAACAAATTACATGTACTGATGCACTAAAGGATAAATTTTCAGTATTTTGTTGAAATAGGCTGCACTCAAATTTCACAGAAACCCTAATTTTACGTAACATTTGCTAATGATGTAACTGGTAAGTACATAAAATCGACAATTCAACGAAAAGTAACATACTAGATCATATGAACGCACCGGCGGAGCAGCTAATTTGGAAGCAATGGCTTCAATCTTCTCTGAATAGTCACTCAAAATAGCCCTTGAAACTCTGTATATAGAAAGCATCACGCATGGCTCAACATTAAAAATAAAAGAACAAACAATTCATAACTCAGAACATCACGCATGGCATGGCTAAAGATAGAGAGAATGTTAAATATTTCCACCATCACGCATAACTCAAAACTCTTTCCCTCCAAAATCCCTAAAAAATTGTCTCTAAACACAGTGTTTGGAATGTTAACTATTTCCACCATGCCTACCAGAACCTTCTGATTGATTTGTAAAGTAGAACAAAGGAAGCATATTGGTATGCATCAAATTATTGAATAAATAAAAGTTAAAGTAAATCAAGGGGGAAAAAAAAACACATACCAACCTCGGTAAGCTTTCTGGAGTTCTCTCCTCAGCTTCTTGTTCTACCTGTTCTTGTAAAGTAGCAACATACTGCGAAGTTACCGCACCTAAGCATCCCAGAAACACTATAAAAAACACGAAACCAGAAATTTTTTGGCACAAATCAGTTGTCTGAAAATGAGTAAAATAATGTAACCTGTAATTCTAATAACAACATCCATACCAGAGGTGAGAGGACAAGGATGACAGGATCATACATGTACAAGTTTTCATTTTCATCCTTATAGTTCATTCCGATTTTCAATTGACACTGTTAGAAAATCTGAATTTTTAAAGCCAAATTTATGATATTCAAGCTCAGTTTTGACTTGTTAAAATTGTGTTTCAACAAGATTATGGGATTTTAAAGCTTGTAACAATAGCTTTCAAATATCATATAACATTTTGAGTTAAAAAGATATAGGATGCTCGAAATGCTTTAACGAATATATATTTTAGTTCTTTAAATCAACTCAAAGAAATTGTTTATATTTATTGGTTTTAGTCACAAGGCACCAAAAAAAAAAGCATGACGACTCTACTTTTGTATTTAAATTTTGAGCTATAAAATTCTCATACCTTTGTCATCTATTTGCTTCGATTTCTTAGCAGATGAAGGTTTAGAAGTTGTTTTGGGTTGAAGAATGTTGGTTCATGGAATCCAATTGTCCCTTATGATATGTGTCATCTAATGGGGTTTGGTGAATGGTCTTGTGCTTTCTCTTGCCTTTTTCTTAGTACTAGTAGCAGCTGCATGCCGGAGCTGCCCAATGTAAATTGGAGTCTGTAATGTGGATTCTTTATAGGTTGGACATAACTGTACTCTCTAAAAACCAACGAAAGATATTACGAAATGACTAAATTGGAACACATGCAAAAGTTAGACAACTAAAATGAAACTCGGGTATAAATTTAAGGATCATTGCAAAATTCATATAATTAAATCTTAAATCTTTAAAATACAACTAACTTCCAAATAGTGCATATATATTTTCAACACCTACTATTCAATAATAACGGATTGCGCACCTTAGCGAGGATCAAAATTAATTCTCTTACTAAATAATAGGAACCGTAATCCTAGAATATGCAACTATAGATTTTCTACCAATTTAAAAACCAAAATGGCTCTTCTCTTGTTCTATATAAAGCCATCATGTGGGTATAATCAACCATAACTTGGAAGAAGGTGAATATTGTTTACATATTTGAAGGATAATGCAAAGAAGCCAACTTCGAAACAAGGACGGAATGTTTTTCGAAGGAAGTGAGTGAGCTCATGTCTTATGTTGTGCGAGTGTTTTTGCCATTGTCTATGGGCTAGACAATGATGAGCCAGTTGTGTGGCCTTCCCATGTAATTGTGGTCCAAAGGCACTCACATTGCTTAATGTCTGGTGAGTTCGCTCACTTTCTTCAACAAACTTGCCCTTCCCTTTGTAAAGGTTGCTTTCCTTTTGACCATGGCTCGAATATATTTCCATTGCACAATGTCAACTTTGACGGAGTTCAAAGCATGCAATGGCACAAGGCCCCAACTTAGAGGTACCCCCAAATCTTAGTACATCCATATATATTATCAATAAATTATTATTATTATTTTTTTCATGAACTATGTATTTGTGGATTAGATTTCTTGAGGTTTTGTGAAGTTTTTCGTTGATTTGGCTGCTTCAGGTTGAGTTTAGCGTTGGTTGTTTGATACTCTATAGCTCCATGTAATTGTTGTTTAATGATAATTTGTAAACTTTTTTATGTTTATTTTTTTATTTTTTTTTTTTTTTTTTTTTTTTTTTTTTTTTTTTTTTTTTTTTTTGTAATGACATCAAAATTTTGGTAGTCAATAATGTAAAGTTTGACCACTTGATTAGTCAAAGTTGACTCGTGCAAGTTGTGGGTCTTAGGAAATTATACATGGCTCATGATCACAGTCTTAAATATCGAAATTATCGGCTGATAATATGGGCGATATTTTAGGCCATATCCACTTAATTATCGTCAATATATCAATATTTTTATCGATATTATCACGAGAATGTCGGATGCGATAATTTCGTACTCGTTCGTACTTTATTTGGGTAATATATCGCGATATTATCGATAATATCGCGATTGAAACTGAAAAATAAATAAAATTGGTTGAGAAATGGCACTTTTGCCAACAAGGGGATTCGAACCCCTCTCTTTCCCATCCATCTACTGAGCCTTATCCAACACGCTGCGAATGAGTTCATTAATAATGTTACGACGTGTAATATTTATATGGTCTTAAAAATTTCTGCAAGCTAATATTATCTAGGATAAATTTCCATTTTAAAAAAAAAATCCCTAATGATAAATTTAGGCATATGTTTAATTTTATTTATTATTTAATTATAGAGTTTTTTTTTGGGTTATATATTATGGAGTTGTATTATTATTCACTATTGAGTTTTAATATTGTTCATTATATGTGATACTAAGTTTTAACTTTAATAGGAATTTTTTTTATGTGGTACTAAGTTACTCATATATATATATATATATATATATTTTTGTCAAGCTCATATATCTTATCATATGCAATATATTGTAGTAAATTATTATAACTAAAAAATTATGGTGCGTTTAATTTTCTTTCACTAATTACTAAATATTTTCTAAAGACACGGTGTTTGTTAGGTCGCTGCATAATCAACTTAAATCACTCTAACCCACCATGCCATGCATTTTATTCCAATTTTTTGTGATAAAATAATAGACAATTGACTAAATAAACATCCTCTAAAGTTTCAATAAAAATTTCCAAGCTTTTCTCACAATTTCCGTGATTTTTATTCAATTTTTATCGATATCGATATTTTCTCGATATTTCCATCGATATATCCGTGTTTTTGGACCACCGATATTTCCGAAACTCTCGATATTTTAGACCTTGCTCATGATCAAGGTCTAAAATATTGATGGTTTCGGAATCAGTAGTAAAAAAACACGGAAATTTAGATGGAAATATTGGGAAATTATCGATATTGATAAAAATTGAATAAAAACCATGGAAATTGTGAGAAAAACTTGAAAAAATTTCTTGAAACTTTGGTGGATATTTATTTAGTAGAATATCTATTACTAAATAAACATTGCGAGTGTTTAACTAACTTAAGTTGATTATATAACAAACTGACAAACACTGCGAGTGTAGAAAATATGTAATAATTAATGAAAGAAGATTAAACACACCATACTTATTTATTTATAATGATTTACTATAATACTTTACACTTTATACATTGCATGGTAAGATACATGAATGACTTAGTATCACATAGAGTTCCTATAATGTTCAAATTTGAGTTATTTATACTAACACCCCCTGAGGTTTTCGACTTTTTCACAAAACTCCTTGAGGTTTTAGAAATTACAAGAACACTCCATGAGGTTTTAAATTGTTTTCACAAAACTCATTTTCATTGATTTTATACAAAAAAATTCTCCTAATGACAAAGTTAGCTTTTGGGATTAGATTGCATATGCTTTATTGAAGTTAGTTTTGTCATTTGCATATTTTTTTTTTTTTTTTTTTCTATGAAATCATCAATTTTTGGACAAATAATCAACGAAAAGGGGTTTTGTGAACAAATTGAAACCTCCTCAAGGGGTGTTCGTGTAATTTTTGAGACTTGAGGGGGTTTTGTGAAAACACAAGAAACCTAAGGGGTGTTAGTGTAAATAACTCTTCAAATTTTACATTGTCTTCATCATCTCAATATTATCGATATTATAGCGACATTTTGGCCAAATGTTGTTGAAATGTGAGAGAAATTATCGACGTCGATATTTTCCGATATTATTGATACTTATACGATATATGTATAGATATGTTCCAAAATATCCTATACTCAAAAAAATGATAATATCCTCAATATTTCATCGACATTATCGATATTTCATTGGTTATGACAATACAATATTCATTTGGATAAACTCTTTCCCACCAAAAGCCAAAGAACACTGAGGATTTGATTGGATCCAGGTATCATGTCGGAGAAGATGCTCATCATGCACCTTTGGAAGGTGGCTAGGTCATTGCAAATACCAAAAGGCATCCTCCTGCTATAAGCAAAAGTGCCAAATGGACATGTGAATGTTGTCTTCCCTTGATCGTCTGGGGCTATGGCAATCTGATTGTAGCCTGAATATCCATCAAGGAAGCAATAGTAGCTATGACTAGCCAATCTCTCAAGCATTTAATGTTTTCTCTCTCTCTCTCTCTCTCTCTTTTTTTCTCTACCTCTCTCTCTTAGTGGCTAAGTGCATATGGCAACCTTGAATTAATTTTCTTAAACCAAGAATTTTAACTTAATTAAAAGCTAAATTAAATTAATTGACTCAAATGAATAAATCATAAATCAATCCCACAAATCAAGGAATTTAAATTGAAAATTCCAAACCAAGATCCAACAAACAAACATGTGTCGGTTCACTCCTCACCAAAAGGGATGTACTTACTCCAAATGCAGAAACTCTAGCTGAACTTTGGTAATCTAAAATTACGCAAGAATATCTGCATTCATGTGATTACAATTATTTAATGATTATTATCACTATCATATATAGGTAGTGGAAGTGCCAATGAAAAAAATCTCAAATGTTTAGTCACAATCTTTGAAGGCCAACCTTCGACTGCGACAATGCACTGCGCGTTCTAAAAGTTTTTTTCGTGGGCTGGATGTTGGGGTTTGCTGTTAACTTTTTAATTAAATTAAATTAATGGCCATTACTTGCATGACATGTCTGCATGGATTACGTAGGCTTTCATTACTTATTTAATTACAAGGAAGTTTAAGAAGGAAATACTAATTTATTAAGTTATTAATTTTATATTAAAAAATGGAAGGGAAAGGTGTGGCACTAACATCATAACATGGGTCAAAAAGGTGGGTGTGTGAGTGCTTTGTTTACTTGCTTGTGTAAGCCATGAACTGGATTCTCTTGTCTTTCTCAATAAAGTCTTAATTAAAAATAATTTATGGGGAAAACAATCAAAGGCTTAACTTTAGGCTTTCACTTAAAGCCAAAGGGACATGACGTTTACTTTCTTAAAGATTCTCTCCCAATACAAAATCTCAGAAATCTATGATGGAATCTGATGCAAAATTATCGCCCTCTCTCTCTCTCTGTCTGCGCCTGTCAACAAATTTAATTTGGAGTAAAAGACGCAGATTCTGATGCATACTTGCAATGCTCTCTTTGCCATTCAATTAGCTTGTCGACGAAGCTAGCTTTTGGACTGACTAAGGGTTCGTTTGAGACTGTATTTGTAGGAAAGTAAGTGTTTTTCTAGAAGTGTCTCTGCATAAGAGTTTTGAAGAGCATCTTTAAAAAGCGCTTTTGTGACCCGAAAGCACATAAAGTTTTCTGCTAAACGGGCCTTAAGAGACGGAAAAAAAGTATGATACCGAAAGGTTATTAAATTCAGGTTTTGTGGGAGTATTTACTTTAAGATGGAGTCATCTATGAGCACATGTCCTCAAGCTAGAAATCTTAACTAAGAAATTAAAGTGGGATAAGATTGAACAGGTGGATGAGAGATATTATTAGATGGTTAATTTTCCTTTGGATATGGATTAATAGCATTGGAGCATCATAGTACATGGTATTTGACCTGGTTTAGTTGTTTGGATAGTCATATACAACTGGCTCCAAATTTTGAGTCAGAATATCCCATTGGTGACGAAAGGATCCATGAGTTTCTCTCCAAATTTTGCTTGAACAGTAAATGGGTTGCTATCCACAATTCTTTTACATCAAATTTTTTTAGTGAGAAAATCTAGGTAAATTTAGGTTTTAGCCACAAAAAAACTTTCATTTTTGGAAAAAGCCAAAACTTTTCCGAAAAAGACAGAAAAACCCCTCAACTTTCAAACCAAAGACATGTGAATGTAAAGAATTCCTTAGGAAATCTAAAATAAATAAGGGCATTTTTGTCCATTTTGGCTTCTTTTCAAAATATTTTTCTCTCCTTTGGTCTTTTCCAAAATGTCCCTAGAATCTACTGTATTCACTTTTATGCTATATCTTAATTATACATTCTCATATGCTGACTTTTCTACGAATTAATTATGGGGTGATGTCTTTCATTTTCTGGTTAGGAATGATGTATTTCACTACATCATAGAAAAAAGAGAAAGAAGACATGATATTTTTCTTTTTTTAAGGAATTAATGAAAGCATGTCTACCATGTTTTAATTATGTAACAATTAAAGTATATTTTAGAGGAAAATTATCTTAATTTCCCAATAAAATAATATATAAGTGAAATTTGCAAAAAGTTGGCTCCAAAGAAACCAAAATGAAAATCACTTACTTGAGGCAAGACAAGCCTACCGGCAAGTGGCATGAAAACTTCAATTAAGAGGAATGAGGAATGCTAGCAACTTTCTCTCTAACATTCTCTTTTGGACCTTCTCCATTTTTTGCCTGACATGTCTCATTCTCCTTACACTCAAAACAATGTCATTAATATATTATACAAGCTAACTTTTGCTTTCCAAGTTTACCCTTATTAAATGTATTCAATTTATCTATAAAAAATTCACAACTTTCTTACCATCTTATTATTATTATTTATTTAAGTCATTAAAATACAAAAGGAATTGAGTTACTATTAAATGTACTCAAGAGGAATTGAGTTACTATTAGCACTCTAAAATAGTCATTAAAATATAAATTATTGAAAGAGAAGCGGAAACAATGACGTTACAGAACATCCTCTTAGTAAACAGATAGCATCTAGTGATTTCTTATGCTAATATGCTTTTCTATATTTAATCATCCCATTAGCATTAGTGATCGATTTTCTTTGGTTGGGGGAGTTCCTATTATCTGATAAGCCAAAGTAAAGTCAGCTCAGCAACTCAGCATCACTCTCATGCATATAGTCTTGGCCTCTTGTGCCTCTTGGACCTCTGATTTCAATGGTAGCCAAGAAATAAAAAATATATAGAATGCCTTTGTAGCATGCACTTGACCGAAAAGAGGTCGGTGATTTATATGATAAAATTATTTGAAAACAGTTCACTTTTGATGTCAATGTGATCCAATTTTGCTAATATTATACAGATTGCTGTTGGTCAGCATAAATCATAAAACACAAGGCAACGTGCAAATGGCAGCAGATGCATATATAAAAATTTTGATTGCCGGCTGCTTTCTTTTTACTTTTCCCTCCAATTGAACAAACTTTCTGCCCTACATTTCTAAACTGGGAAACCCACAGCCACAATCGCCCCCTATAGTCCTAAAAGCAACATTTGTAGGGTAGTGGTCCTAGACTCGTAGGCATGCCTTTAGCATTTAGGGTAGGTCATTTGTTGTCTTCCCACATGGTTCAGGGTTGTGTGTGCGCGCGCAAGTGGTTCTTCCTCATTAGCTTGAGCTGGTTTTCCATTCTCTTCACACTAAGCTGGCCTTTGATCTCATCTTTTATGGTGTCGACAAGTATTATCCAGTTAAAACATAACATGTGTTACGAAATTTGAATTTTAAATAAAAATTATAGGTCATATTTGCATATCATTCATCTTGCCGCGTGGCAAGAAAGTTTATCTCTTGAGAAAGAGAAAGAAAGAAATATATTTTTTTTAGGGTTCCATAGGGAAGCACCTAGCCGACAAACAAAAGGGTAACTTGGTGGAGGATCACTTCCTTCCTTTTCAAAGGAGCTAGCTAGCTAGCTAGCAAGCTTTAAAACATGTCTGCTTAAAATGTCCGTACACTTAGTGAAGTGGCCATAGACAATATGCACAGCTGCATGGCCTTTCGGGTTTGATGTAGGGGTGATAATTTTTTATACGATCCGATACATGACTCGAAATCTGCATCGAAAATTAACAGGTTAACTTGCACGATTAGATTTCCAAGTCATTTTTGAGTCAATCTGCTACTGACCTGTTTATAAACAAGTGAGCTTCAGGTTAATTCACGAATCCGCTAAAATATCTATGTAATCCGCCAATTCATTACTTTGTTTCTTCTTCGTTTTCTTTGTTATTTCTTTTATTTCTTTTTCTCAATCTTCATACATAGAGAGAAGCAAAATACAATCACTATTTTATATATAAAAAATATAAAAAAGCAATTATTTTATTAAATTATCACAATTTATGATTTTTTTTATTTGCTATCATTTAGCGGGTCAACCCTTAAATGACACATTTATTAAACCCTAATTTGATGCAAAGTCACGGCCCTCAGGAACATAATAATGTTAAACACACACCCAACGTACAAATACCAAGCTGGAAATATTCAAAGAAAGAAAGAAAAATAATTTAAAAAGTAATGAAAGGCCGTACCTTGAGATTCTTTCAAATTTCAAAGGTTGTAATTGAGATGGAAAAACAATACCAATGAAATTGTTTGGTGGGTAAGTTGCAAATTTTAAACCGAAAAACATGATATTGTTGACAATATTTGTAGCAGGCAAGAGGCATGATTATGACTATATTTGAACACAAGATTGACTAAGCGTCATATTGGGTGGGACTCACACCTCCCCCCTTATTTCAAATCCCCATAGGAAAATATGCCCATCAGATTCTGTCGCCTGCAGACACTAATTTTTTTTTTCCTTTTTTGTTTTCCCCAAGCATAATGATTGATCCATGCAATCATCTTGATCGGGTTTGGAATAATACATAGCTTTCGACTTTCTAGTAGAGAGTAATGTTCTCTTGTCAGATAATTATTTAAAAATCAACTTAATCGGCGCCGTATATTTAATTTGTCAAATAATTATTTAAGAATCAGCTTAATCGGCGCAGTATATTTAATTTAACACGAAATTTTTTATATATATTGTCAAACTGTGCGATAAGAGAATACTTTTATATAAGTATAACATTATCTGGTGCATCAAAACATGTCCCCCATATATATAATATGTGAATATAACATGTGGTCAGCATAATATAGAAATAGGGTGCAATCTAATAATTCCACTTCTTAGAAATTTCAAAGGGTGTGTGCTGATGCATGTCTTTTTCTTCTTTTTTTTCTCTCTTTAATTGTTCTATTTTGAATGCAAGACTCGTGTAGCATATGGGTCGTACATAAACACACTGGTCACTAGATAGTGTTGAATTATTTAATAAATAAATAAACTTTATAATTCACAAAGAAGCAATCACTATCAAGAAAATATTTGGGGGAATCCTTTTCTTCCTTGCCCTTTGTTGGCTTTCACTTGGAAAAGAATAGGAAAGCTGAATTCCGGGGAAATGTTAAATTCCATCTGTCTCTCTCTTTAACTACATTCATGTAAGCGCATATAAAGACATTCTTATTAGACCCAATTTCTGTCCACATGAGATTTAGAAAATAATCTTTCTTTTGCTAAAATTCAAATTCTCCAAATTAACTCAAGATTAAAGAAAGAAATAAAAATTTAGTAAGGGGTTTTTTATATAATAAAAAAACTTAATAGGGCCTTTTTTTCACTAAAAAAATAAAAATAAAAATTCTTTTTCATTTCTAGTTGTAGTTGTACCAATACTAAGAATTGTATAATTCAAGTGGTGTAAAAAAGGCCCCCCCTGCCTACCTCTCTCCCCTCAAAGCTATATGCCTTCCACTTTGGAGGACTACAAATACCCACGCCACACCCCTCCTATCACTCATGCTCAATCCCCTCCCCTTCCTCCTCTCTCTTATTCTTCTTCTTCTTCTTCTTCTTCTTCTTCTTTTCTTCTCTCTCTCTCTCTCTCTCTCTCTCTCTCTCTCTCTCTCTCCAAACAATTCAACAACACAAGAACCTCTCCATTCTAACCAGCAAAACAGAGTCCTCTGCTTTTCCCCTGTTTCTCAAACATCACAAAACCAGCAAGACCCTCTTTCATTCTAACCCCAAGAAACTCATCTCCATTCTTTGTCTTCCGCTCTCTCCTTTCATTTCTTTTTTCTACCAAAAATTTTAAGTCCCCATTTCTAATTTTACATGGCGACAATTGTGTGTCAAGGTTTGCAGTCATGCCTAGACTCTCATCTTGTGGAGCCAAGGACACTAAGGCTAAAGTTTTCTGCACCAGTAGCTCATTACTTCTCCCCAAATCCTGGAGTTAAATCTTGGTTTCCAGAGGCTAACTATATAGAAGAGCCAAGGGAAGAGAAATGCCATTATGAGGAGCCCTGCATCAATAAGCCTGTTGATGTCCATGACAATAACAAGGCCACCTCCAAAACCTCTGATTTGGGTGGCTGGAGCTTCCTCCAAGCTGTCTCCAATATCTCACAGCAAGACCCTCATAAGGGGGACAAAGAAATATGTACATCCCTCCACAAGTTTATAAGACCCCATCAGCTACTAAGCTGACTGAGAAGAGCTTGGAATTGTGCACTGAAGACCTGGGCAGTGAGACTGGCACCATCATCACAGAAGACAACATTTTCTCATCAGATTCTGAGGCAGAAGCAAGAGGCAAGAATGTGATGCCAAGGGAGCAACAAAAAAAGCGGCAATTTTCGGGTGGAAAGAAGGGTAATGTTGTTCATAGCTTTCCACCTCCCTTGACAACGATAAGCGGCTCGGATTCTATCCAGGTTAGACCCCACAGGGAAGATGGGAGGCTCATAATGAAGGCTGTCATGGCCCCAACTACTCAATCATGTTTCCAAGCTGAAAGGAGCAATGGCCGCCTTCGATTATGCTTTTCTAAACACTTTGCTCCCAATTTTGACTCCGAAGAAATTGCCGCTCAAGATGACAATGAAGGATGTGAAAATGACAGGAGTGAGGAAGAAGAAGAAGCAGAACAGCAAGACCAAGAAGTAGTGGGAGAAAATAAAGAAGAAGATTTTCTAGAACATTAGAAGGTGATGATGATGAAAGGGAAAAATGTATGTGTTTGATTGAAGCTGAGGAGGTGGATGGCAATAGTTTGAAGGTTGGGGGTGAAGAGGGAATGGACAAGTTTGGAAGGCCAAGCAGGTGCAAAGAAGGTGGTGAGCATGAGAAGAAAGGGTTATTAAACTGGGAGCCTTTTTGGGTGGCTACTTAACTCTATCATTAAAGCTTTAATTAATTATAATATTGGATCTCTTCAGCTGTTATCAGAATTTCTCCATTTTGTGTTTGTGTTTGTCTCTTTTTGTCCCTTTTTATTCTGCAAAATTCCCCTAGTTCATAATGTATGCTTGTGGTAGGTAGTTAATATCGTTACTCTCTCTCTCTCTCTCTCTCTCTCTCAGAGTCTCACAAAGAACACAGACAACAGATGACCAAACTTTGTTTAAACCATTTTATTTAAAATGAAATTAATTTTATAGTTTTATAAAATGGAAACAACATATGGCACTAATCAAAACAATTAAAATGAGAGGATTAAAATGTAATGATAGAACTGATCCATCCAAGCAATGTGGAACTGGCTATAGCTCACTCACTGTGTAAATCTTCTGCAGAAGACACTTTGGCAATAATCAGGTGAGATTTGGGTGGGCCCCATATACAGGTAGGAAAACATACCAGTTGGAGATGAGTCAAATCCATGACAGTCTAGCTGCTTTTTAAGTGGTTGATCACTTTAAAACTTACAGAGATAAAATCTCACATCTACAAGAAGCATCTCTTTGTGTTGTCTGTAGTTAGCTAGCCTTAGGGTTAAGAAAAAAACTTGAATTCTCTCCAATTTTGTCTTTCTTTTTCAGCAATTCCACTACTTGTCTATCCTAACACTCACTGATCCCATATGCATCTATGGTCTGAGACACATACATTACAAAGCATGCTAGGACCTCCCGGAACTAGAGCTTTTAGACGACCACTAGATCCCAAAAGTTCAAGCTCTCGAAAAATAAGTTAACAATGTATATCAAACTAAGTCAATAACAGAAGATAAATTTCGTGCTGATACACACAGCTGCCACGTATTTAGCTCACGGGTGAATATATAAATATATTTTGCATGTTTTTTACAAAGTTGTACTGGTTCGTCTTTTATTCCATCGGCAATTTCAACTTTGGAATCTGACGTCTGGCCTTTTTCTACTTTCGTTAATGACCATATATAGCATCAAGAGTAATACAAGAAGGGAAACATGCCGTACATGCATATGTGGGACACATTAACTCTCTAAAAGTAATATGGATTCCGTATCATTTACCGTTCATGCTTCTGGGACCAAAATATCTGCGACTCTGAACCAAAATCGTCCGTAAGCCCATCTGAATTTATGAAACACAAAGACACGCAGAAGGAAAGGTAAATATTACTGCAAGTGGGCTGCAGAGCCTGGCGGGTACCTTACAGAGCTCTATATATGTAGGGGGGTCTCATCTCATATGCTACCCAAACATGCACACCGCCCTACATTTTAATTTGAAAGTTATTAATAACTACAAAATCCTCCTTCTTCATCTCTATGTACGTACTGTGCTCTCACCACCATTGAAACATGCTACCGACTTATCATCAACAACCCTTACAGCCATACACATTCACAACAATTAACCGTTTCGAGTCTCAATTATAACCTCATGTAAAAAATAGTAAAGACTGAATGTCACTATACAAAATAGTCATTAGAGGTCGTCTTGACTATAACTTTTGGTTGTCCTTCTTGCCTATTTTTATAATATATAGTTAGCCCACAATGACCCGGAGCTCTTAATTTATCAACTTTTGTGGAGTCATTATCAACGAAATCTTTCAACAAGAGCAAATTATAATTAAGCTCAGCTGGCCTGTGCCGACAGTACCTTTTCTTTTAGTGCCCTTAAAACTGTCACATGCAATAAAAGTACATTCCCTATAGATCAGAGGATGGCAATGTCTGATCGTGGAGTTAGGGCAACCATTCATTAGGATACTAGATAGGATAACGAGTTTAGAGCTGATCTCAATTGTCTGCATTCTTTCTGTCTTGAATTTTCAACCTCCACTTTAATCATCTTTGATCAGACATTGATAACTGACAAGTACATATATTAGATGCTTCTTCGTTTTGCACAACTGTGTAATGATATTTATTGGCTAAACTTCAAAAAAAATGAAGAAATGTGAGTAAAAGATTTCATCAGAAGTGTGTGTGTGTGAGAGATTATATATACTCTCTCTTTTTTTTTTTTTTTTTTTTTTTTTTTTTTTTTTTTTTTGGATTGATTCTCCTCTCTCTAGCTATAGGGAAACCAGCTGCAATATAATTAGAACATTATATTTTCTGTAAAAGCTGTAATAATTAACTGCATTTTATAATTTTGCTGAAATAATCAAACAAATTTCCATTACCATAGAATTGATGATGATGAAACAGTGAAAAACGAAATTTAACAGTACTGATGAGGATGCAAGATGCACTACTAGAAAACCTCAATATAAGACAACCTGTGGGATCTTTGGTCACGGATTGGTCACGAATTGACCACAGATCACGTGACTGTGGTAGTTGTAGGTGTTGTCATTCATTTTCTTATAGACTCTCAGCCAACCAAGAAAAGCTATATGATCATGTCTACAAGTCCTAGCTGAGAGCTCCTCTGATAACTACTTTGGTAACTTCAGAGTGAGCACAGCTAGCACAGAAATGGATTGAAAAGCAATAAATGAATAAATAAATATGAAAGTCTTTGCTTATGACGCATGTATATATATACGTTAAACAAGATCATACATTTTCAGAAACTTTAGTCTATGTCCGAAAACTTGTATATAATACTTCCAAATGAGAACCACGTGCCGGAAACAGAAATTGTAGCGCAAAATCTTTCATATCCACATGAACTGGGGTCATTCTGAGAAGGAACAAAGTCCCCACCAAGTAGAAGGTGAATTCATTGAGGTTTCACTCCAAATTCAATTAGCAATGGAAAGAGTAATTTCAACTCCTTATAAGCATTTGTAAGGTTTTTTAACTTTCAAATGTGAAACTTTTTCCCTTCACATTCTCACGCATCCTCGTACATGTAGTGAATTTTCAAACCTAACACGTGGACAACACATTTTGGGTGATGTGGAGCACGTGTGGCCGTTGAGCTTTCACACGTGGGTAACCTGCTCTGACACCATAAAGGAAGCTGAGGTTCCACCCCAAAATCAATTGGCAATGGGGGAGTAACCCAATTCCTTATAAGCTCTTGCAAGATTTTCTAACTTTCCATTATAAGATTTTTTACCTTCACATTCTCACAAAAGGACAGTCGAAATTGTATAAAAAAAAAAGACAATCGAAATTGGAAGTTGTCCATATTACATTTTAAGTCTATTTTGGGTTGTTAGGGTTTTCAATGTCGTCCATACAATTTAAAAACTCACAATTGTATCCTTGTAATTCATATTAGGTTACAATCAACTCAAATTAGGTTACAATCAACTCCAAATCCCTAAATGTTGATCGGAGGACGGAAACGTGGTGAAAGTGTGACAACTTCTGAAATTTGGTAGCTAGAATGATGATTCGAAAAGTTTCAATTGTTACATCATTTGATTTTGATTAGATTGCCCCCAAAATCTTTGGTATATACACTTTTCCTTTTAGAATCATTTTCTTTTTGAAGGCAATTATGGGTGGTTTGGAATAATATATATATAGTACTAGCTAGTGGATTAATAATTTGCAAGTACCTGACATATGGTGTATGCATGGAAAAGCCACTTGGTTTTATCTAAATCTGATCCATGAGGCAAATATAAGACAATAATGTCGCTCCATATGTGTAAAAGTGTATGTGTGTGGACATTTGGTGAAACGCCAAAGGTGTATTTCTATTGGGTTTTGCATGCTGAATCTCTTTAAGAAAGGAGCTTTATATAATTTCTTGGTAGTTAAGCACTCGGAAGTTTTTTTGCATCATTCATGTAAAGCTACGATATAGAATGTAAAGAATCTAAAACAAAAAATAAACGTAACCAAAAAAGAAACAAAAAAGCCAAGATATATATGGAAGTTCCATCATCTTCTTTGTAATAATACATCTTCTCAACAACCTTTAAAACTTTTTCATACATTACTTAGGTGGGTTGGTTTCATGATCATGCACTCTTGGATCCCAATTGGGAAGTCTTTTGAATTTATGCAATTCTTTATATGGAAAAAGTTCACTCATATATCATGCATGCTTTTCAAATTATTTTTGCGCAATCAATTTAACTTTATTTTCCAAGAAGTTTTGTCATCATATATGATGAGATTTCTCTCCTAATATTAACGTTATCCATTCATGTGGGAGTGTAGTCTACTCAACAAGAACTTTGTCAAAAAAAAAAAAAAAAAAAAAAAAAAAAAATAAACTTAAACTGATAAAGCATTAAATTTCATTCCCTAGTATACTTCAGGCAAGAGTTTGCTTTTTCTATCCTGAATGAATTAGGCACCAAGAAATGCATCTTAGATGTTGTATACAAACGACATTCTACTCTAATCTAAATTATGGAGAGGGGGATTCGAAGTTGAGTGCAAAATGGAGAGCTAGCACATCCACAATTTAGCCAACCTGGTTAAGCCATGTCTTACATGAATGTTGTCTATTTAGTAATTTATCTATACTTTCTAATTTTTCTTCTCTCAAACCAATATTCATGTTTTAATTTCATGACGTATCAATTCTCTTTTTCCCTCTCAATTTCCATCATGTTTCACACCATCATATTTGATGAAAATATAAATATGAAATAGAGAAATGTATGTACACATAATGTTGGGTAAAAAAGGAAAGTCTCATTCTTTATGGGTCCAGCCAACCATGGCGTCACCAACAAAAGGAACCACCACCAATACAAAAAGCTTCCCATCATACTTCTTCAGACCCCACAACCATATCCACCCTACCTTGGAACCAATATATATATATAAAGCTAGCAGCTCAAAAGGGTACA